TACCAGCCCTATCAGCTGAATCGAATCGGATTTGTTATTCATGGAGTCTCTTTTTTGTACTTTTCCACCCGCAATTATTAACCCCTTCCTGGGGAGTAACCCAATCCACAAATACTACCTCTAACTGCTTAGTTCACACACCATCCACTTACGGTCGCCTCACTTTGATAACCAATTTATTTTGCTGATTGCCGACAAAATCAATGCCCGAGAGCTAAACACAAATTGCAGGTGGTCAAGCCACAAGGCACCACCTTATGGATGGGAGCCCCAACGATTCCATTTCGACCATGTCCCAGACGAAGGGTGGGTATTTTTGAATACAATTCGAGACCATAATTACATTTATTGCAATACAAAAGCGCACTGCTAGCCGGAGTAGCGGAGGGGGATTGGATGTGGGGGGTTCAATGGTTAGAGGTGTCTAGGGGAAGTTTGCCAAACGGAACATGCATTGACAGATGGACAAAAGGGTGTGGGAGTGAAAGGGTTTGGGGGAGGTGCAGGGTTGAGGCGACATGTCGTCACGCATCGCTGGGCAGACATGCAGTGGACATCGGTCTCTATTCCATGGATATGGAGCAAGGCATATGGAAAAGTACACAGACAGAAAACACTGAAAGAAAATACTTTTATAGTTTTAGTGGAATAAGATCTTCACCCTAACTTATTTTTAGACGTCAGCAAACTCGTTTATTGAGACTAAAAATGTATTTTCAATTTTCCTATTTCCGAAATCATTAAGCAAACCCCCTTTCTTGCAGTGTATCTCCACGATAATTGCCACAATTTGCTTGTTGCGTGAATGGACAGACAGAAAAGTGCCGGCGATTACAAAAGGGGAAGGTTTCCCTCGACGACCAAAGGGTGCAAAAAGGACAACTTCCGTTTGCCGGACACGCGGACATTCCCTCTTGCATACAGATATAGCTTATACATATACATATGTACTAGTGTGTGTAGAGGGGTCTTTTTGTCTTATGTCCGCCTTGTGTCATATTTGAGGTGAGCATAAAGCCACTCAACGCCGCCATAAATCAACTGCACTCTGATCTAAGGCTGTCAGCGCGGAGGGACACCAGACAGCGCGACTGAGCGACAGATAGCGACCAAGAACAACCAAAGTAAGGGAAATTAATTGACTAATAAGTCGACTTATCAAATACCTATTAGATTTGATTTTAGCTTGATTTATTTACAACTTCAGTAAAGGGTTAAATCAGATACAGTTTATGGATTAGCAATCTTTCTTCAATTTGAACTTCTTGCAATCCCAAAATCCATACTGATGTAAAAATCTATCAATTATATGACATTGCCAAAGCTAATAACATAGTCCATATACCCTTTCGTACAAAACAATGACGGCGACAACTTTGTCCCATAACTTTCCAGACGACAAACAGACAACATCGCCGTTGTCGTTGATGTGAATGTCGATTGCGATGTCTGCTCTTTGGGTCTGGGCTCAGCTCTCACCTTTGGGCCATATAGCTTTGGCTATAGCTTCGACTTTGGCTTGGTCTCCTCTGGCTCTTGTTCTGGTTCTGGTTGCCAATTCTCGTTCCCATTTTCCGTTCTGGGTCTGTGTTTCTCACACGCGGAGGCTTTCCAGGTCGCTGATGCCTTTTTGTGGGAATGCACCTGAGCTTTGGGGTTCGCCTTGTTTTCTGCCGCGCTTTGTTGTTGTTGTTGATTTTTTTGTTGTGTTTCGTTCAGGTCTTCAGCCGAGTTCGACTTTGACTTGTGTCTAGACTGCAGACTGCAGACGGCAAAAAGGAAACAACAGGAAACGCCGGCAGACAACAGACGGGCAGACCTCTTTGACAGCTCAAACAACTGAAACGAGCCGACAGCAGCACCGACTTGCAACCTCAATTGCAGAGCTGCAACATTGCAGCAGCTCCAGCAGCAGCAGCAACAATGGGTCTTCACATCCACATTCACATCCAGAGCCAAGATATTGGGCAAACATTGCCAAACTGCGCGAACAATTCTCGGCTGTCAATATTGTCTGTCAAGACTGTCGCTTGGGCCATCTTTTCTTCCATTATTCTCAACTCTTTTGTTTCTTGTCAGCTTGACTCCTTTGTTCAGTTTCATTAGTTTTTCTAAAATATGTCACTTGTCTGGGTCTAAGATTAGTTTTATTTTGCCTTTGGGTCTAAGTTGGGTTCGAAAATGTGCCAAACTAACTGCTAGTCTAGAAACTTTTAGAGGAATACCATTGAAAATTGTGATTTTAATGGGTAAAACTTAAATGTCAACTATAAATGACATAAAAGCGCTATAAGTAATGGAGAAAATCATACCACAAGACATATCTATATCTAAATGATAATCAGTTTATGACATACATTTCCATAATTTCTTTATTAAAAACCCCCTCCTTCGGCCGCCAGCAAGTTGAGCATTCCCTCGTTTTATGACAACCTACTTTGCGCCCAGGCAACTGTAATTCGTTTTAGTGAATTAACCAGCTTAATTAGTTTAACTCGAGTCGAGACTGGAACGTGGAAATGGCGAGAGGCGAGATTCCCGGCCAGTGATTTAGCAGTTAGTTCAGGACATTGCATTCCTGTCTGTCTGGGGGCTTTCCCCCTTCATCTGGTATTTGGCCAGCAGTACACGAATACAAGTACAAGTACTTGTTGTATCCGCTGCTGGCAGCCATTTAGTCCGACTTGATGTCGTTGTCGTCGTTGTGTTTAATTATTCAAAACCATGTCATGTCTCTGTATAATTTTATGCATTGGCCAATCCAAGCGCCATGATGAAACTGATGATGATTACGAATGCTGATGATGATGATGACGCCTACACAGAGGCGCATGAGGTAGACGGCAGACAGCTGACACCGAAACTATAGCTACACGAGGAGAAAAATTCTTACCAAAATATTAATTTATATTTATAAGAATATTCCATATTTAAATCCTTTAAAGGATTTCGTCTAGACTAAACTTTTTTTTAATATTAATAATCAAAATTTTATGTGTGCCCCAAAAAGTATGCAATATTTATAAGAATTCAAATGCAGGTTATGAAAATTCTTAACAGAAGACACTCATATATGGAGTCTGATTAACTTTAGCTTTTATTTTTTACTTAATTTTTAATTTTAAGTCAAGAAATTCATTTATTTTATCGTAAACATAGAACTAAATATTCAAGAAAGTTATTTTTTCTAGTGTATAACTACAACTATCTTTCGACCAAGCCACATGTGGCAAAGGCAGCAACCGCAAAACAGACTGAGACGGGTAAAAGGGGAGGGAGCGAGACGGAGTAAGAGGTATAGAGAGCGAGAGAGAGAGCTGAGTGCACTGGCAAAGTGGCATACCAGACAGTCTGACGCTGTTGGAGCCCACGAATGGCCCCAGTTCCCTCGCTAACAAACCGCTACGCCCGCCAGGCCGCTCGACCCGCCCTGCCACACCCCTTGCCCCTTACCGCCCAACACCCTGATGGCCAGATCTTGCCGTCTGGACGAGTACAACGACAATAATAACAACAACAACGTCGACGACGACCACGACCACTGTCTGTGGCAGACCGAGACTATCGAAAACTCGAAATTTATTCGTTGGAAAAAGTTGATTTCTGTCGCCTTCTTTTTTTCTGCCCACTTTTTGTTTTATTATTTTTGTATGTGAGTGGTACGAATAGAATCGAGGGGTATATGGGTAATTAAATATTAATTTATTTTAATATTAACTATTAAAGCAAAAACAAAATTGGAGCCGCGAAATTCGTTCTCTTAAAGAAAATGTGAAAAAATGTCAAAAATATGGCAATGATTAGAATTTGGTTTCTTTCTTAACTCTATATTTGAGGTTTTTATATATATTTGATACAACTTAAGATCGAACTTAATATTTCAAGTTCTTTCTTACAAATATAAATAACTAAAAAAGTAAGTGCAGAAGCTTAATAAAAAAAAAAAGCTTTGAATATAAACTGCCTCAATTTATCATTCAAGTTATTACCTTAATTACTGGATAGTCATTATGTCTATCACTTTCAGCACAGCAGCTGCATTCTTCTTTCTTCTTCTCCATAATCCCCACTGTCTCCCTCTTTTTCACTCTATTTCCCTCTGCCTCCGCCAGTCTGTTGTTTTTACCGTCGTTGTTCGCTTTATTTTCCATTGAATTACAGAAAAAGAATAAAAAAAGAAAGAGATGCCCACGAAAATTATGTTAACCAGCCAGCTGTGTTAAAAATCCCACACCATAGCCATACATACGAGTATTGCCCCTTTCTCTCCCCTTCATATTTTCCTCTTTCTCGTTGAGGACAAAAATGCCATATCGCATAAGGCATAAAATTGTTCAGATATGATGTCTGGTAGTGGAACATTTCAGGGCAATTGTTGCTGCGATTTGTTGTTTATTTTTAGTCCTTTTGTTTACTCTTTTTGTTTTACTTTTATTTACGATTTTTATAACAATTGTGACATGCAAATGGAGTGTGTTTTTTTGGCATTTGTATGCTTCGTTTATTTTTGAAAATTTCGGATGTTGTTTTTGACAGGTGAATGAACTAAGGAAAATGTTTTGATGTTGTGGAATCAGGTATCAGGGGTATCAGTGTGATTAAAATACTTTCTATGTACAGTAATGATAAAAATGTTTAAACATATTACAAATAAAATGTAGTGGAAGTTAAGATTTCTTAGTGATAAAATCAAAAAATGAATACAATTTCGATTGAATTCACTTTTTAACCTAAGAATATTTTGTGTTAAAGTAAACTTTGAATTTCTAATTTGTTGGAAACTCCTTAATCACGTTCATAAGTATATTAGTATTAGTATTAGAAACCCCATAAACAGTATATCAAAAGTAAGAGGAAAGCGAAAATAAGTTAAAGAGATTATAATAGCTTTTATACCCCTTCAAGCTAAACATAATTAATATGTTTTTTTAACAGTTTCGATTATAAACTTAATGATTTCTATCTTTTTCATATCATATAGTTATATATTACCTACTCACCGTATTTCTGCCAGAAGGATGCGCTGCTGCCCACGTTCGACTTTGAATGGGTTTCGCCTGGGGAAATCGAATCCTCCTCAACTTCATAAACTTCCGTGTAAAGTATGAACTCGAGTCGCGATCTCCGCGTGGTTGTTATTGTTGTTGTTGTTGTTGTGGATGATGTTGATGCTGCGACTGTTGGATATTGCTGCAGGGTCAAAGGTGATGCAGTGGTCGCTGTTAGGACCGTATCACGTTTGCGTTTAAAAATACGAGGCACGGTACGCAGAGATGCTGTTGTTGTTGTTGGTGGTGGTGCCCCGGGCACATGTGGCAATGTAGTTGATGTTGATGTTGCTTTTGCTGTTGCAGATTGCTGCAACAATGTAGCACGTTGATTAATTTGATATGGCAAGAGCATAGACGCGGGCGATGCGGATGCAGACTGCGGCGACGCGTCGCGACAACGACAACGACAGGGACATCGACAACGGCAACGGCAACGACAACCACGATGGCGATAATGATGATGATGCTGGCTATGACGATGACGATGACGATGGCTATGACGATGAAGATGACTATATGAACACGACGAACAAGGCGGACACGGCGGACCGAACGGGGATCGCGTTGGGCTTGTGGTTGTACGAATATTTGTCTCGGCACTTGGACTTAAGTGGCAATCCGCACTCGATGCTGGTAATTTATTTTGCAAATTTGTGCCAACAGCGTGATGCTCCCCTCGCTGCTTTTGCATTAGCTGCCTGCTCAGAATTAAATTTAACTTACTCGTATTATTTGCACTATTTACACTGCACAAAATTGCACTACCACTATATACAGCACTTTGCACCTGCACCTGCACCTGAACTTGCGCACTATCACTTCCGACGCCGCTTCCAGTTGCATTCGATATTGAATTGATTATGGCATCGCTTGTCTGGCATTTCAGACACTTGCCACCGCTTTTCCTTATCGTTTCTTTGGTTTGAGTTAGTTTAAATCTTTCTATGAGCAACGCCCATGGATGTGCCACATTTTCGTTGGAAGTCTGCTGATCCTGTTGCAAGATGTGAGTACGGGGTATCCCCAATCCCGGCATTGGCACCGCGAGGGCTGAGGCTGTCACCCGGTCGCCCGGCCGGAGGAGCGTCGTCAGGCTGATCACAACCAGAACCACTGTGCACCACGACCACAATGTGCAGCGGGCCCCCGCGGCGCCACTGGCTGCATGCGTGGGGGCCACAGCGTCGTCCGCCGCCGGCGATCGGATTGTTTACGCCGTGCTTTCGTCCGGAAATCCCACAAATCGTATGGTCAATTTGAGGTTCGAATATGCAATCAATTTAAGGTGATTATTGCTGGAAGAGAGCAAGTGGAAATGCAGTGATTAGATTTGTATTTGGTAAATATAAATGGAAATCAAGTATATATAGTTGCAAGTATACACTTATTCAGATTCTATTTAGGTTTTAATAAGATTTAACTTTAAACCCAGGAGAATTTTTATTAACGTTTCGAGATCTATCTCTTTACTATATAAAAAGGATTTTTTTTTTCCTACCTATCTGGATATTTGAGAAACCTTTAATTCCAATTAGCACTAATTTAAGCATAAGATCATCAACTTTTCTTTCAGTGCTTTTATGCTGTGTGGTCGCCCACTTCGCTCTGGTGTTTTGCTATTTTCTTTCCTTGTTGTCGCGTTTACTAGCTGCATTTGCTTTTGTTTTGTGCGCGGAGTCTGTCCCAAAGTCTGCGGCAAAGTATCCAACGTCCCACAATGATTCCTCCCGAACCCCCGACGAAAATACATAGTGACTCATTTGGGGGAAGGGAGTCGGTGAAAAGGGGGGGTAGGTGGAGAGGCGCGCGAATGGAGGAGACAGTCTGAGCATCGCCCTGTGGGCATAAATAACCCCAAGAAGTGCAACACGAACAACAATAATGTATGTATGTAAGTATGTGGCATTGTTGTTGTTGCACGTTGCGTATGCGTAATATTTTGCAGAAATTTATGTTGCACTTCTTTGCGACTTCGTTTTTATTATCGTCATCATCATCATTGTCGTCGTTGACTTCTATATTTAAAGCAGATCAACAGGAACACAAAGAAGGGTGGAACAGAGACGGCAACTCCATCGTTATGCTTTTCACTTTTACCCCAACATATTAAAAAACAAAAAACACACAAAAGAAAATGCTGAAAAATTACAAGCAAGTCAAGAAAAATAAGCTCTAAGATAAAAACATCAACAACATTAATTTTGCTAGTTAAGAAGCCAAAGGAATGGCAATTTTGGTGGAGTTGCTGAATTTCTTGCTGAAAATATAAATAAATTCCACAAAAAGCATTAAATTTTGGCAATACTTTCGAACTAAACTATAAAAAACAAAAAGATTTAAAAATATTTAAACATAAAAAGCAACAAAGTAAATTATTGACATTCAAAGCTAATTAAAGGTTTGTTCCTGCAAACTTTTAAAAGTCTTATCAAGAAAAAATCCATTTACGATCCTTTTAATTTTATTATATTCGTGATAGTGCAACAACAATGTTGCACCCCTCAATGTGTCAGAGACAGATTGATGCCACAGAGCAACAAAAGCATTAAGATGGATCGCATTGTGGAGACGAATCATCCTCATCAACATCAACAACATCGACCCCAACCCCAACCTCAGCCTCATCATCTCCGTCTGATTCTGTTGTTTTCGTATTTTTATTCGCTTTATTGAAATTCCTTTCAAGTGTCGGAGGCGATCGTCATCATCCTGCTATATCCTCCACACGATCATGATCACGATCATAATCATTAACAACCTTTGCTGTAGTGTTTGTGTTTGATCTGTTTTCGTTACCCAGACAGAAAAGACAGAACAGACAGACAGACAGACAGACAGACTGAGACGGCGGGACGGGCAGCTACTGTTTCCCCTTTTTGGAGTCCTCTTCAGCTGGAGCAATTTATTTGATTGCCTCTTCATTTTCCTTCCCTCACTTTTCGTTCCTGCTCCGACCTTAAGTCGAAATTTATGTTTGCCATAAAAACACGATCTCCGACTCGGAGTCATAATTAATAAAAAAAAGCAAAGGAAAAAAAGAACAAAAAAACAGAAGAAGACCAAATCCGAAATGCAAAAAGAGCCCAGCCAGAAATGTGGCCATAAAGTGCTGACAAGTGTTTTCTGCCTTCGAACTGCAGAGGCCAAACAAAAGGCTCGCGTGAGTCAAGATCATTTTGAGACAGAGTTTGTTTGGGCCTTTTTTTGTGCCACCATCAACCAACCAGCTGGACTGAATGAATGTGATGGGAATGAAAGGTATGAATGTGGGGCCTTATGAAAAGAAATTACCATACAAAGTAAACTCAGATCGCAGGAATGTGGCAGTTAAAATAAAATGTCTTCTTCATAAAAATAAATGGTTATTTGGTCTTTGTTAATGCTTAAAATATTCATAGCTTTAAAAAAGGTTATTTTTGGTATTTTAATTGATGATTTTAGATTACTTTAGTAAGTACTTTCAGTTACTTAACTCTTAATAAATGCATAAGGCTTTAACTTTCCATTACTATGACCGTACTTTCGTACTTTTCCGTTAAAATTTAACTTAAAAATTCGTGAAAAAAAAGCATTCACTTTACCAAAAAGCCATGAAACAACAATACCAATAAAAATAACCATATCAATACGGAAAAAACAAAAACAAGATCTCTCTAAGCATAAGCATTTTCATCTAATTCAAACACATTCCAGTTTATTTTTAAACAAAACGCTACATTCTTGTATTTATTTTTGTGCCGGCAAAAACAAAATCGAAGTCGTTTATTTTCAATTTCCAACATATCGAACAGATTGTTGAGAGAGAGTAGGAGGAGGAGGGAAAACAAGGGGGAAAACCCAGGAATTCGCAAGTAATCGACAGAAGCCGGCTGTTATCGATGAAAAACACCAAAAAGCGAGCATTGGCATTTGCCAGATAAGCGGGTAAATTCGTACTCGTACATACCAGAAAGTCGAACGCTCGATTTGACATTGAGCAAAAGCTAAATTCGAAGAATTCCGGCCCAGGAAAAGTTTTTTCTACTTTTTTTTCTCAACAGCGCAGAAGAAAATATCCACGATCTCGGCACTATTTTACTATTTCACGCACGACTTTCGAACCCGTGTCACGTCACGCGAATATCGAGCACACTAATCGAGGAATTTCACACATGACAACCAAGTATTTGGGCTTTCTCCCTCTCTTTCACTAGCTTTTTACCTTTCTCCTCTCTCACTTCAACTTATTCCTTTTGATAATAACTATTATTTTGTATAAATTTTCGTTTTTCGTACTTTTTAATGTTAGAAAAAAAGTGAAAAAAATGTAAATCACTTGATGTTGTTAATTTGCATTTACTGTTGAGATAGCGATAGCACGTTTATATCCGTAAATCCCAATAGCATATGGCCCTATATCTTTTTAACCGATCCGATCTAGCCGCCAACCTGCGCCGCACTGAACTAAATGCGATTTTTTTTCGCAGCTAACATAAAAACTGCCCGTTTGTCTCCAATATTTCACACATTTCGCACACTCAGGCCCCGGCGTCTATATAGACGATATATATCCCTGCATCGGCCGGGAATATAGAAGGGGGCTGGGCGGCCTGAGACTCCGACGCGGCGACAGGCGTGCCTTTTATTTTTACCGCTCATTTTGTTGTTGTTCGCCGGCACGGCAAATGAACAAAAAAAAACAACAAAAAATGACAAAAAAAGACAACTAGAAAATAGCAAAATTATTTTTGTACTTAAAAATAAATTGAAAAGCATTTTCTTCATCTGTTTTTGCAACAACGGCCGCAGGAAAATCAAGCGTGAAAAGTGCTGCCACTTCTCCCCACATCTTTTGCTCTCCACTTTAAAGTCTCCACTCTACAATCTTCTATCTCCAAAGGGCCACACAAGAAAATATATTTGACAATCTTTTAAAATTTTAAATTCAGTTTTTAGAACAGATGTAATATACGAAACCTAAAAAATGTGTATAAACTTATTTAAGATTTCTTTGATAATTATTAATTCCTGGGATCAAAACAGAGTTTGGATACTTTCGTGTCTCCTTTATTCCCTATATATTGCCCATTACACTTTATTTCTTTCTCTGTATTGTAATGTTTTTCTCTTCGAGGATCGGGAACTGTCTCTCTGCCTCCATCTCCCTCCACGCCTGTCTGGGCGTCTGTCCGACTGTCTGGCCCTGCTCATTATTTCGCTATCATCGGGGGGGACGGAGAATCGGCGACAAGAACAACAACCTAGTCCAAAAATACTCTCTAACAGTGGGGTAGAGTAGGCTGAACAACGCAGACACAAGCAGCATAATTTTTATTCAAATAGAGAATAAGAATGCTGCAAAATTGTTGCACAAATAAGCAGAGGGGCAGGAGCAGAGGTGGTGGCCAACAGGGCGAAAACA